GGTTTGGTTCATGGTTTTAGAAAAAAAAGGATTTAAGGCTCAAAATATTTGGTGCCCACCCACTTCATGATGTTCTCTAATCCTATGTTCAGTAAATTCAACATGAGCGTTCATCTCTCAAAAGGATTTTGTGACGGTCAAGGAAACGACGAGGCTTTCGGAGTAGAAACCACCCTCATGTCTTCGTGTTTGTAGTCACCAATTTGTTCTTTGCTGAGGACTTTTCTTTGTAGTCCTTTCTTTGCAATTTTTATTTTCCCTAATTTTTGCCTGAACTAATTTTTTGAATTGATGGTCCAGCGGGATGCCTTAATTTTGCCTAAGTCACACGTTTTCATGTTTTTTTTTTACTTAGCAGGCTTTTCTTTTTCTTGATTTTTGACTTTTTGAACAAAAATGTGTGACATTAGCTTGTCTTTGCTTGTTGAGAGGATTGTGATTGCCTCGTTTCTTGATGAATGAGGGATAACATTGTGGTTCCACATCCTCTAGATTCATTATACATGAAGGATAGCCCTCGTAGTTTCTCTTCAAAAAATATCTTCCTTATGAATTTTGAACACTCAGTCAGATTAACTAAAAACTACCCTGCCCCAGGTTAAAATTCAAGGTTTTTTCGTATAGAAAAGAAACTTCTGCTTCAAAGGCTCAAAAGGGGTTAGCAAGGGATTATCTTCCTTATATCTCCAGTGTTTAGGGATTTGAAACAATGCATGTACATCATCAGCAAGATTTTATCCAAAAGCATGCAACCAGAGATTTTGTGTTCTTTAGATCATCATCCTCCCCTCAACCTCTGCCTAGGCAAGAGAATGAGCAACAATTTGGTATCATAGTGCAAAAAGAAATTTAAAATTTGAAAATAAATATGAGTGAAACGAATGAATTTCTTCAAGACAAACATACCCATTGTATTAAGATAATCATTCAGATGCAAACAAGTTCTTACATGCAAACAATGTTTTGATAAACAAGAAAAATTACAAAAAGCATGAATAAGTTAATAATCTAGGAAGGCTTTCCATCTGGACTTGAATTACCGAAAACATCCTTCAAAACTCAAAGTGACCATCAATCGTGTTTACTCTTCGGCGCATGCTTGATTTGAACTTCAAAACCAACGTCCTTGAATGACAAGATACCACTTCTGACCAACTTCTGAACCTCAATCTTCAAAGCAAAGCAATCCTCCAAGTCATGCCCAGGAGCACCTTGATGAAAAGTACAAGCCAAATCAGCTTTGTAGTACCGATGTATCTTCTCAGGAACCTTCGGTGGAGGTCGGGTCTGAACCAAATTCCTCTGCATCAAGATAGGGAACAACTCTGTATAGGTAATTGGAATTGGATCAAACTGGGTTTTCCTCTGATTAGGGACTTGCTGATTCTGTTGATGAATAGGAGAAACATGATGATTCTGACGATGATTATTTCTTCCTCTGGTTCTCTTCTTGGAAAAGTTATTATCAAACTTCTTCACACCATTAGCTGAGCTACCATCTTCATATAAACATCCCTTCCCAACATCTTCTTCTAGACGCACTCCCACATTCACCTTGTCAGGAAAGTCATTAGGTGCATTAACCATCATCTTCTCATGAGAGAATGATTTTAGAGTTTCAGTGAAGACTTTTATCATCGCTTCCTCCATCCTAGAAGGATTGACTTGGGCGGTAACCAAAATTTCAACCAAACCAGTTAAGTGCTCCATACTAGCTTTCAAAATAGTCATCTCTCTACGGAGTTCAGAAACCTCTTGCTTGATATTCTCCATTATTCTCTTAGCGCGAGTGTTGTACTGGTGAGACCAAAGGAAAAATAAGACTCGGAAAAAGACCTTTGAAAGTGAAACAAAAAATGTAGAATGATGCATGGTATGCAAAAGAGAGTTTTTATTTGATTTTCAAGGAACTCAAGATATTAAGTTGTAAACATCAAAGTATGAAGATAGAAGATGGATTTTAAATTGGCTCTAAACATTGATCAAGTTATCATCAAGATCAATCATCCATTTTGGTGGATTAGGGTTTTCGCCCTATCAACACCCAAGATCCATTGAGCTTGATGAAACTTGTGATGTTTACAAAGAAAGACCTCCAAATTCCTTCAAAGTCAAGTGAAAAGGGTGTTATGGATGCATGAATGCATGGCTATGCAACAACCACAAGCAAGGTCACAAATAAAGTCGAAAGGTTCAATGTCACGAGCATGGAGTCAAGGTAAGGAACACCCCCAAGGTATGTACTAACGGTTTAATCACACCTGTAGAACAAGGTTCTAAGAGTTCCCGGAGTCTACATTCCTCCTTCGGATATTACCAACGTCTTGATTACTCAATAATCAGCAATATTCTCAAGAGAAACTCATCCGAGCGTAGCATCGCGTAACAATTACTTCCGGATTACTCCGTTATAATCTCCACGCTACACCTAAAAGGCCAAGATGGGTTAGGGTTCTACGGTTCCCAGCTTCTCTGGCTCCCAGGTCGAAAATAATAATGTCTTCCCGATTACTCGGTAAACAAATATGACGTTCAAAAGGGCCTTCCACTGAGTGGGGGATTTCATGCCTCCTTCTTCGGGATTACTCCCTCAAAGTTAACATGACTATACCGCCCTTCCTATTCCTAAGTGTAACTTAGTCCGGGTATAAGACTTGTCCTTTGTAAATATTATCAACACCCAAATAATCATAATATATACATATAATCAAACAATCAAATAATGATAAAACAGATAAAACAAATTAGGCTTAACCCACTTAGGGATGGACCAGCAAGAGATCAATCTTTCCCCAGCAGAGTCGCCATTTCTGTAGCGGTGAAAATCGGAGATCAAGCTATTAATTAACTTGACTCACGAAAGCAAGAGTCGCCACCGCGCTTTATTATTTCCAAGGGAAAAGGGAAAAGAGCGAAATAAATCCCTAAAATATGCAATGTAAAATAATACTTAAAAGTAATAAAAATACAATGCGTTTTTGAAAGAGATCGAGAGTTCGGGGGTTGGTTATACAGTGGGAAGGTATTAGCACCCAATGCATCTGCGGTACTCTGCAGGAACCTTTTGAAATATCTGTTTTTTTGGTTTAAAATTGTTTGTTTGATTAAAATGATTCGTTTGGCTAAAAGATGGGTATGGACGAGATTTTGGAGATACGACGACCTAGTGTCGAAGTTTTGACTTAAAAGGTGTGAATTTGAAATTTGAATCTTTTAGGAAAATCGACTTAATTTTGGAAAAAAAACAGTAAATAGGAAAAAAAAAGAATGAGGGTATTCGCTTGATCGTATTAGATATTTGATGACATGAAGTCAAGAAAGTTAAAATATTTTCCTTGGAATTAATCATAAGCAGGTAGATCTACTATTCGAGTAAGAAATCATAAATAATTAAAATCCACGAGAAACGAACAAGGTAGATAACAAGATAATTGTAAGAAACTAAATGAATGGACAAAGAAGAATCATAAATAAAAGAAAAGTGTAATTAAAAAAATTATCTAAACTAATTTGAGATTCTAAGGTTACTAAGTAAACTAAACCTAAATTCTAAAGTGTCTAATTAAATAAAATTTTGAAGTTATTAACTAAAACTAAATTAAAATTCTAAAGTTACTAACTAAAATTCGAAATTTATTAAATTAAATCTAAAATAAATTAACACTCTAATATTACTGAATTAGGTCTAAACTAAATTAATTCTAAAGTTGCTAATCAAAAAAAAAAGTTCCAAAGTTACTAAACTAAATCTGAATCAAATAAAATTCTAAAAGAATATTAAACTAATTCTAAACAACTAAAATTCTAAACTTATTAAACTAATTCTAAATCAAATAAATTTCTAAAGTCCCTAAACTAAAACTAACAACTAAAATTCTAAAGTTAACTTAAATAAAATCAAATAAAATTCTAAAATTTACTAAATTAAAACTAAAACAAATAAAATTCTAAAATTTACTAAGTCAAATCTAAATGAAACAAAATCCTAAAGTTACTAAAATAAAACTAAAATAAAATAAAATTCTAAAGTTTACTAAGTCAAAAACTAAAACAAATAAAACTCTAAAATTTACTAAGTCAAATCTACATGAAATAAAATCCTAAAGTTACTAAAATAATACTACAACACATAAAATTCTAAAGTTTACTAAACTAAAGCTAAAACAAAAAGTTATAAAATAAATCTAAATTAATACTAAACTAAATTAATTCTAAACTAAAGATTAAAATTCTAAGACTAAATTAAAATTATAAAGTTATCAAAATGTATCTAAACTAATTGGAAGTTCTAAAGTTATAAAATAGATCTAAACAAATTAAAATTTTTAAGTTATCAAAATATACCTAAATTAATTAAAGGTTCTAACATTACTAATTTATATCTAATTAAATTAAAATTCTAAAATTACTAAATTAAGTCTAAAACTAATCTAAATAATTAAGATCATCTAGTTAACTAAAACATAGTTGTTTAATTAAATCTACAAATAACTAGATTAACTAAACTAATTATTATTTAAAATAAACAAATTGAGAGGGTATAACTAAGAAAATTTAACTAATTTAACTAACTAAAAATATTTTTAGATTTTTCTAATATATCTTTTTTTATTGCATTTTTAAAAATGATAATAAATTAAACTATGATTAATATTAATCTAAACTAATTAAATTAAAAAAACTAAAAGTAGGAAACTTTCTTACATTTCAAACTTATTTTATTTTTTTTAAATATATAATAAGAAACAAACAAACCAAAATTTTGACCATTCCAACTATTCTAAACCAACCATTCAAGACACGACACATGGCATAAGGAATTAAAAGGAAAAAGTAAAAATACAAACTAGCAGTAAACATTAACGTTAGGAAAGCAAACATATTCTTCAATCTCTTTCTCATTTTCACAATGTTCCATCACCCTCTTTCTCTTAATTCATACCAAAAGCATTGAAACAGAATCATTCAGTAATTAATCAACATTAAAGAGCAAAAAGAACATGGTTACCAAATCAGAATTTTGCAGCGACAAAGAGGAGGAGATACTGCAATTGGGAAGGGTGGCTGCACGGTCATGGTCGCGTAAAGCTTGCAGAGTTGTTGTTGTTCGGTCGTGTCGGTGAGTGAGTCGTAGTCACGGATCGTGATCGAAAGGGAAGCGTGGCGATATCTCGATCTACGGAAACTCGTCGGAGAGCGCAGTGGTGTTGTTCTGTCGCGGATCTAAAGCCAAAAGGGGCTGCTTGCAGTTTGAAGAGACAGGTCATTTGGATCTCGGTCGTGGGTCGCGGCAGAGGTTGGATTACGAAGCGTTGGGTTCGTGGGTTGATGGATTCGATAGGGTAGGTGTTGTTTAGTGTGTCGAAAACGAGTGAACCGGAGGAGGTGCAGCGGATTTTGTATAACGGGTCACCGCATGTGGAGGTGGTGCTGAGTGGAAAGGGTACGGTTTCTAACAGAGGGAGTTTGTAGCAGATGGATTGAAGGTTGTTACGGCGGAAGGCTTGATAATGGAATTGGAGGTAGAACGTGTTTTCTGTGAGGTGGGTTACAAGTAGATGAATGAGAACGAATTGAGCAGACGGAGGGAAATTGGTGCGGTAAATATAATGTTAGTGAAGAGGGATTTGAAAAGAGGAACAGGGGAAGTGACCGGACAACTATCGGAGGGAGGGAAGTGTATCGCTGAGATTGTGGATATGGTGGGAGGGGTTATACTGTGTATGCTTGGGTTCGTGAAAAGTGAGGAAGAGGAATAGAAACTAAAAAATTAATTACTGTTAGTTTTTATTTTTTGAATAAAGAAAGAAAATAGAATGTGAAGAAAAAAGAAAGAGGTTACTGCTATGCTTTTTGTGTTTTTGTTTTATAGAGTAGAGAAAGAGATAAGTGGTAGTATTACTACTATTATCTTTTTTTTGGTGTTTTTGTTCCAAAGAATGAAATAAGCTTTATATAGGAAAATGAAAAACAAAATTTGATTTCAAAATTAATCACAACCGTTCAATATAAATTCAATCTCTATCAATCCGCAAACCATGCTATCGACCAATGAGAATTAAGCGAAACCTAATTAATATTTTTTGTGACCGAAAAGTCCATGAATGACCAAAAATAAAATAAAATCCTGAAACTATATAAAAAAATAAATCAATTTAAAATAATTTTTGAAATTTTTATGAATTAAAAATAAAGACACAAAATGATCGAAAATGATAAAAAAACGGGTGAAAATTTATCCGATAAAATAAAATGAACATATTAAAATAAACTACATGTCACGAAGATTAAAGAAAAAATATTCAAGAAGTCAAAAATCAAAAATAAAATAATAATAAAAATATCAGACTAAACAGACGTTTAAGGTTAAAAACGAGACTTCGAACTGTACCAAAAAAATAAAGCGAGCATACCGTCATAATCTACGCGAAACGCAGATTCATAAAATGATCGGTAAAAGGTGAAAACTTGAAATATTTTCTCGTTAATTTTCCGCATAGTGTCGAATCGCTTTTAACAGTCTGTCTATAAAACCAAAATATTTTTATTATTGACATATAAACAACTTGGAGCAATGCAACAAATGAGTAAATAGATAAAAATGCATGAAGCAAAATGCCGGGTATTCTACAACTGAAAGACGATGCAAACTTTGATTTAAACTGACTTTTTCTGATCAACTTAAATACGACTAATGATGCAAAATGTGATGAATGAAGATATTTACTAATGATCGTGACCAAATAACAAAATATGATATGAAAGTGCGACTAAAACATATTAGGGGCGAAATTAAGGGTGCAACGGTTGTGCCTTGATGAATCAGTCTTCGAGAATCCGCAATCAACCGTACTTCGGGCTTGGGGGACTCAAAACCTTAATTGAGGCGCGACACCTGATGCTCTTGATTCAGACCTGTCTCTGCACATGACACAAAAGAAAACATGAACATACACATTTGTATGCGATTAGAAATTAGTGATACATATGCTAAAAATGTTCAAAACACTTGACAATCTTCGCATAGTCAAAGCTCGACGGTGAGACGCTAAAACCGACCGTATTTCGTGACCTTGACTTATCTTAAAAAAATGCAAAAATAAAAATGGGATCTTAGGTCAAAAATTGGGGTACAACAGCTGCCCCTATTTAAGTTTCTTCTATCTGGAGATATGAAGATTAGGATCTTCATTTCGACGAGATTGAAGGGACTTAAATATAGAATACACAATTTTTGGCCTTAAGATACCGCGATTATGTTCATGATATGATATGAATGTGATGTTTTGAATTTTATGGGGAATGACGCCATATGAGACGGACTATGCTGGAGAACCCAAGCACATTATACAGTAATCCCACAGAGGAAGAGGTTGTAACTCCACTGGGGAAACAAAGTCATAGACTTCAAATGAGAGACTCTTGAATGATTTACATTAGTGTTGAGACTGGAAAAGAGATGATTTACATCAGTACGAAGACTGGAAAAAGAAATGATTTACATCAGCACTGAGACTGGAAAAGCATATGATTGACATCAGTATTGTGACTGGGAAAGGAAATGATGGACATCAGTACTGAGACCGGAAAACAAAATGATTGACATCAGCACTGTGGCTGGAGATAAACATCTCTGATTTCTGAATTTTACCAAGAACGGTAACACATTTCTTCTCTGACCAAGATATCGCTTGAAAATAAAATAACAAACTTCCCCATGGGACTTTTCCGAAGGGATGCCATTTGTTGAGTAGACATTATTGTTGGGGATACACAAGCTGCTCGAATAAAGAGGCCGCCACTTGCTTCCTTTCAAAGGTGTCAATAACATACAAGCTGCTCATGAAGAGATCGCCACTTGCTGTCTTCAAAGAATATTAAAGCACACAAGCTGCTCATGAAGAGTCCGCCACTTGTTGCCAAAAACCCACAAGCTGCTCATGAAGAAGCTGCCACTTGCTGTCTTCAAAGAATATTAGAGCACACAAGCTGCTCATGAAGAGTCCGCCACTTGTTGCCAAAAACCCACAAGCTGCTCATAAAGAAGCTGCCACTTGCTGTCTTCAAAGAATATCAAAGCACATAAGCTGCTCATGAAGAGTTTTCCACTTGTTTCCAATAACCCACAAGCTGCTCATAAAGAAGCTGCCACTTGCCGTTTTCAAGGGAACAATAACACACAAGTTGCTCAAATAGATAAGCTGCCACTTGATGTCTTTCAAAGAATATCAAAGCACACAAGATGCTCATGAAGAGTCTGCCACTTGTTGCCAATAACCCACAAGCTGCTCATAAAGAAGCTGCCACTTGCCGTTTTCAAGGGAACAATAACACACAAGTTGCTCAAATAGATAAGCTGCCACTTGATGTCTTCCAAAAATACTAACGTACAAGCTGCTCATGAAGAAGCTGCCACTTGCCGTTTTCCGTACAAGCTGCTCATGAAGAGACCGCCACTTGCCGTTTTCAAAAGGTGTTGATAACATACAAGTTGTCCATGAAGAGACTTCCGCTTGCTGTTTTTCAAAGATAACAATAACACACAAGTTGCTCATGAAGAGACCGCCGCTTGCTGTTTTCTCTAAGGTATCAATAACATACAAGTTGCTCATGAAGAGACCGCCGCTTGATGTTTTCAAAGGTGTCAATAACATACAAGTTTCTCATGAAGAGACCGCCGCTTGCTGTTTTTAAAGAGAACAATAACACACAAGTTGCTCATGAAGAGACCGCCGCTTGCTGTTTTTTCAAAGGTAATGATAACATACAAGTTGCTCATGAAGAGACCGCCGCTTGCCGTTTTTTTGAAAACTGTTGATAACATACAAGTTGTCCATGAAGAGACTGTCGCTTGCTGTTTTTTTTTTTAAAAGTGTTGATAACATACAAGTTGTCCATGAAGAGACTGCCGCTTGCTATTTTCTCAAAGATACCCATAAAATATCATGAAGATATTGCTGGAGGTGAGAATCAATAATTTCATCAAGGATGGACAAACTGCTCATGAAGAGGCCGCCATTTGTCGTAGAGAAATCAGAAATAATCAAACTGCTCAAATAAAGAGTCAGTCGCTTGTTGTCATGTCGATATTCCAGAAGAAGGTTGTGATAACACTGCTGGGGAATAAAGTTCATCTTCAATGGGGCACCATGAATAAATCCTTCTTGAGGAGACCAAGTATTTACGTTGCAAAATAAATGCACTCTCCATCTAGGTTTCACAGCCTAGATAGATCCACAGGGTATCATTCACAAGAGACAAAGCTCAATCCAGGAATAAACTGAAGAGAAAATAGTCAAACAAGACTCCACCCAATGAGGAAACAACTCAAATGGGGATTTATCCTATCCAGAGATGGAAAAGGAAAGCTAAAGCAAGATTCTTCCACGAGAGTTAACTCAGTGGGGAATTAGAAAGAAGGCGCACTTTCTGCTTAAGTTGGCACTCTACTTGGAAAGATCAAATACATTATTTGAATAGACACAACCAAGGTATACGAACTCAATGACATCAACAAATACAACTGTGCATGCATGATGCAAGTGTGAATGGATAAATGAATGCCATGTATGTGCTGACAAAACAAATAGACAAGATAAACTGGAGATGATAAGACATCATAGCACAACCCAACACTCGGCTAATCTCAACAGGATGGGAACATTACTGGAGATAAAACACAGGCCATCATTGGAGCAAGGTCCTTTTACAAGGCTTAAATATCTCTGGAGAGGAAGATATTTTCAGGTAGAAAACTCAAAGTCCAGTCTTCTATTGCAAACAATCCATTGAAAGGATAACAACACAAACAAAGTTTCAGCTGGAAAGAAGTCTTGCTTAGCTGGAGATACTGGGAACACCACCCTCTGATAATGTATGAAAAACATATCTTGACAAATCTGGATTGCCCCTGGGATTAATTTTGGATGCCCCAAGTTTATTGCTAATAAGCTGCGTGATGCACGACAATTCTTGCTAATAGCTTCACCTCTAAAATGCCCCGAGCTATATGGTTGATGAGGAGAAATCGTCTCAAGAGGATTTTACAAAAGACCTGGCATTCACCATGCTCTGGTGTCTTCAAACTCTTAGAGAGATTCATCAAATCTCTACGTGATTGCCCCGGATTAACTGTAGTTGGCACAACAAAGTCTTCAAATTTTGCCCCAAAAGGGTAAACAAGTTGGAAAAGCATTAACTGGGAGAAGCAACATGTCCGTGCTTATGGTCTTCAGGTGACATGCCCCTGGATATGATTTTTTTTGAACTGATCCGCCAATTACTCAATAGAGCTTCAGGCCTTAAGAATAGACTCATCACTGGTGCTTATATGTGAGTTTCCTTGATATCAAACAAATGTTTTGCAGTTAGAAAATTTTATTATGAGAATGAAAATTCTAATGCAACAGTTATGTAAGTCTTGAAGATTTTGAAAAGATATCGCACAAATTTTGCGAGTTAGAGCATCATTTATTTTTGTATAGGAAAAACATATGATACCAACATAACTATTTAGAACATTCATGGGAGTCAGGAACACTATCTCATTGAAGTATGCTTTCAAAATAACCTTGCTTCAATTAGGACTTTTGAAGGTTGTAATGCGGTTTGGTTCATGGTTTTAGAAAAAAAAGGATTTAAGGCTCAAAATATTTGGTGCCCACCCACTTCATGATGTTCTCTAATCCTATGTTCAGTTAATTCAACATGAGCGTTCATCTCTCAAAAGGATTTTGTGACGGTCAAGGAAACGACGAGG